TCACACAGTGGTGTGTGAATTCATGACAGCATTGATAAAGCACAACTCCCTCAGCACTCTTTCATCCCTATATAATGTTTTGAGTTTTTTCTACCACTGATCTTCATTCTGGGAAAAAGACAGTTCTCACTGTGTGCCTCCTCTAGCAACACCAGAACATTTTGGATGCTTTTGGATCCAAAATGATTGACTTGGTCTCTTGAGACCAGAGTATGAATTCCCAGAAGTCTATATTTTGTAAATATGAGCCTTGGAAAATGTTAAATGAGTTCATTGTGCTTTGGCTACAGTAGGGAGTTTCTGTGATGACAACAACCATGCATGTCACTTCTGCAGGCTGCATCTTACTCTGTGAGATAAACAGTCACTCTTTTCACAGCTTTTGCTGGCTCTGAGACACTTGCATGGTATTTCTCCTTCTCTTTTTTAGCAAAAAAAAAAAAAAAACATCACTAAATGAAAACTTAAAGTGAAAGCTTGATTATTTCAGGGGCCTTGTCACAAGTTCATTGTTTTTGAACGTCGGTGTTACTTTTGCAATATTTTCACACTTAAAAAAATGAGTTGGTATTGCTCTAGTACCATTGTCCTCTTTTGTGCTACGAAATAAGTCTCCTGGCAGTTCTCTCCCATTGTTGTCAGCATTAAGTTCGATTATGATTCAGTAGACTATATAACACTTTTAATAGTCAGGAAATTACTTGTCTTTAAAAGTTTTGGTTCAGCATACTTACCTGTTGATCAAAAATTGCCTTTTTTAAAGTAACTTTCAGGAGGGCGTATACTCAGTTTTGCAACACAACATTTTACCACTTTAATAAGAAAATCTTATTTTCCTGAATAATTTTGACATTCTTTTTTTTGTAATTGCTCAAGCAGACTTGTTGGAACATTATATCTCTAAAGAACCTTAACATGTCTTCTAAGTAAAGAGTAATTGCTGAATTTGAGGGGGTGTACTCATTTATGCTGTGCACTGTATTTATATATATATATACACACACATTTACCAGTCTCTAACTTTCGTGTCTTCATAGAATCAGTAAGCTTGAAGAGTGCAACCATCAGAAAAATATTTTGACAGTATCTAATTATAACCCAAAATTAATCCGGTGCCAACCAACCCTGACCTCCCCTGAACCAAAATTAGCAATGTCTCCAAATAGCATTTACAGACATAGTCCAGGAGAGGGCAGTCAAAATGCATATTTTCATTTATTTGTTTGATGTAAAAAAGTATTGTAAGAAATACAGAAGTGACAATTTGTATTACAAACTAAAATTTGTGATTATTTGCTCATATTTGCAAACTTTTGTATATTTGTTTATGTGTGTTATATTTACTACTGAAAAAATTGTGAATATCTATCTTTCTTTCTCTAGGGATTCAGCAGGAGCCGTTCCTCGTCTTTCCCCCAGAGACTGTCCTCTTTGTCTCCCGCTTCCTCTGTGTTCCCACCAGGTGTCCATTCAACACGTCAATCACTGAACAGGCAATATTCATGGGTGGAACAGCCCAAAAAAAGCCCCTTTGGTCCTGATGAGTCCAAAATTTCTGCTACTCACAGAAAATCATTACCAGAAACACCAGCAGAATGGAAGCAAAGAGTTTTCTATGAGTCTGTTGGTGGCCCACATGAGATGGAGCCTGTAATAGCTGTTACATCCCCTACCAACAGCTTTTCTTCAGTGCCAAAAGAACCAATATACGGGCCGCCTTTCCGTCCTGCACAGACTCTGGTGACCAGCAACAGGTACAGCAGCAGTAGTTCTCTGCCCAGAAATTTCACACCTCACACAAACTGTCCACAATTGCATAGAGTCAGTTGGAAACTGTAATTGAATATTTTGAGTGATCAAATTAAATCATAGTACATATCTCATATTATATGTAGTATAAAAAGGGACCATATTGTTATCGTTTGTTTTATTTCCATATCTTTAAACATAAACCTCAATTACCAAATTTTTTGTTCTGTCCATGCTGATTTTTAAAAAGAAGGTTTAAGAAATAATTTACCCTTAACATGAAAAATCTTTCATTTTTCACTCCAGTTGCTGTCAAGATCCAAAAGACCAAAAATAACCCAACATTTTTAAACAATGAATGACAAAAACATTTGTAAAACGTAAAAGCACTTTACGGAAACTGAGCATTACTTTTATAGACATTTTAATGCTGAATTCTGTGAACATACTCAGCAATATTTGGATTGGATGGGTGTGGAATGAAACTCACAGTAGTGAAATGAAAAAGAAAAAAGTCTGTGCAGACTTTTCGTTGGGGAAAAGAAATGTCCAGGTTAAAGCTTAGTGGGGCATACATTATGTCAGGGGTGGCGAACGTCGGTCCTGGAGAGCCGCAGCCCTGCAGAGTTTTGCTTCAACCCTAATCAGACACACCTGAACAAGCTAATCAAGGTCTGAACGGTTACTAGGAAGCAACAGGCAGGTGAGTTTTAATTAGGGTTAGAGCTGAACTCTGCAGGGCTGCGGCTCTCCAGGACTGGAGTTCGCCACCCCTGCATTATGTCATCAGTTTACAGTATGTTATAGGCCTAATATTCTAGCATTTAAAATACAGTGCTGTTCAAAAGTTTGGGATCAGTAGGATTTTTAAAGTTTTTTAAAGAAGTCTCTTCTGCTTGATCCAAAAAACTGGAAAAAAAAAACTTTTATAAAAATAAAATAATAATAATAATACAAATATTGTGAAATATAATTGCAGTTTAAAATAACGGTTTTCTGTTTTAATACAATTTTAAATATCATTTATTCCTGTCATGCAAAGCTGAATTTTGAATGGCAGTGTAAGTTGTATTATTTTCATATAATTTAATATTATTAAATAACCTAAAGACGTTTAAATTATTTTGCAGCTATCTTTGCTGAGGCACCCTTGTTGGCCTCTTATTAGCACTTCTTATAGTTTATTTATATGGCATTATTATATTCATACACTGTCACGGTACAGTGTGATAAGCGCACACGATGAAGACAAAGATGAATGCAAATAATCTTTAATATAAACCACACAGAAGGAATCCACAGAAGGTAGACAGGTAACACACGTATAACTCAACTTTAACACTGGACAAAGATAGAATGCACAGACTTGACTAAATATAGGGGAGCTTGATGAGGGACAGACAGGTGAAGAGGATGAACTAATAATGACATAACGAGAACAGGAACATAACCAAATATGTTCAGAGTAACCAAATATGTTCACATACTTCAGAGTTATGTGCCCTATAGAAGCTTGCAAGTGAACGGCGTATTATTGTGCCATCTCAGAGGGGCACAAAATCACTTTCACAGACTTTTTCATTAACTGTTCCCTCCTGGTGGAATGACCTGCCCAACTCAATCCGAGCAGCTGAGTCCTTAGCCATCTTCAAGAAATGACTAAAACACATCTGTTCCACCTTTATTTGACCCTCTAACTCTAGCACTTTCTATTCTATTTTAATTCTACTTTATCTATATTTATTATATACACCTTGCTACGTGTACTGCGTTAGGCTAACCGAGACTTGTCATTTGCACTTATATATTGTTGCTCTTTTGTTAGTTTTGCCTGCTTTTATTGTCCTCATTTGTAAGTCGCTTTGGATAAAAGCGTCTGCTAAATGACTAAATGTAAATGAAAATGTAAATGTAAATATGGGTGCAAGGAACTAACTAACGAGAGAGAGACAGAAACAGGGTCAATGAACACATAAGGGATGAAAATACAACAAAACAGGTCCATAGGGTGTGACATACACATTACATCTTTTACAATATGTATGAGCAAAAAAAAGGGGGAAGTTTTTTTTTTTTTTCAGGGGAGTGTTAGTTTAGAGTAGTTTTATTTGTATAACCTTGTACAATTAATCTTTTTAGTTGTGACAAATGCAGTCAGTATGCAACAATGATTAATCTGAACTACATGCGATTTAGTTCACCCGTTAAAAATATGGCAGTTAAGGTCAAGCCTCCATAACAACATTTTTACATTTTTAATGAATCATCAATGATTTTCAGAAGGGATAGAAGTGTGATGTTTTCACTGTGTTCTTTAATTATGTCTTTATCTCTGATAGTATGTGTGTTCAACTTAAATGCTCATAATTATGTTTCTGGGTGATATTGAGGCATATTGGAGGTGTTTGATTGTCAACGTGCAGAGCTTCATCATAGATAGACTCACACTTCATAGTTCATAGTAAAATTGCATTACTGCTTGTGGAACTAATGTTCAGTGTATAATTTATAATGCCAAAAAAAATAATTTTATATGTTGAATTTTCTATTTTTCTCCTGTGTAAGTCAATGTGTGAATCAATAACCTTTTTCTAATACTAATTCTAGAAACAGCACAGAATATAATTTCCATCTGAATGAATATCTGCAACTTCATTCATTTAAATATGCACATTGTTTAAACTATTTTGTGTTAGAATGTCTGACAATACTTTTGAAATCCGAACTCATCACAAACAATTGGGATTCTTATCTATCCTAACATGTACAAGCTGCACAATAAAAAGAGTTTTATTAAAGCACGATGACCAAAAATGCTGTTACTGTTCTATTTACCAATGTTTACTACTAAACATTTTGATTCTATCAGATATTTTTGCCGACAATAAAACTGCAAAATAGACTAGGCCTATTTGATTTTCTCTTGGAGCAGACAACTATCTCAGTGCTGAGTCCTATATAAGATGATGTGTTATGTAATAATGCAGGAGCAGGATCTTCATACTTCTGGAAGGCCAGCCATAAATGACAATCAAGAAAATCCCAGCCTCTGAAGCTAACAATTACACAAGACTAAAACAGCCATCACCTTTTACACACATACACAAAAATTACTCACTCACAGACTTTGTAGACTTTATTCTTATGCATACAGTTCACCTCCCTCCCCCTCCATACCAACTTATACCATTGTGAGAGGTTTGAGTGCTGAACACAGCTAAAATTAGCCTATTGATGTAAGCTGGCGTTCCACTAACATCCGCACACACCCCCACCCCAGTGCAAGTCAAGAACAGAGTGCGAGACAAAGACAAATCAGGCCGGATCGATCTACCTAAAGTAACCTCTTCCTTTGTACAGGCAGAATTCAAGACACACGCAGATCTAACAGGTAAGACGATGACCTTCCTTGAGAGAAAGTGTGCAGTGTGGACATAACGGACATGTGTTATAACAGTGTTGGGAGTTGTGGGTTGTGTTTTGTGGACAGTTCTGACACTTAAACTGTGGTAACAAAACATAGATACTCAGAGATGTATTTTAGACGACTCTCTTAGAAGACTTATATTGGATAAATGTGCACATGATAATGGAATGAACTAAAACAGAAGCCCTACCAAATGAACATAAGTATGAAAATGATTGTTTATTATTTAAAATAATTGATTTTTTTTATTTAGCATCGCAGCAATATAAAGTATGCAAATAGATACTGATAATATTATGCAACTATTAAAAAACATTTTCACGAGGAATAGTTTACCTACACAAATCCATTTAAGCATTGCCAGCAATGCTACCAAAAAAGAGAGAATTCAGAGATTGATCGTTTTGAGCTTTTCAATGAGAGCAGCAAGTAAAGGATCGAATGTCAAGGCCTTGCAAACTGTGCCAAGAAAGTTTCTTTTGGCTTTGATCAGTCTCAGTAACCCAATGGACACAATGTTCCGTCACCAGCTCATGCATAACCATGATTTATATCACTTCATGACATATGACATCTTGCTCTGTATAAAGAGTTGGCTTGTGGTCAGGTAAGTTTCACCGTTACACTTTAATGACAGTTATGGAAGGGTATTTTCGGTGGTTTAGAAAGCCTAAATATGGCATTTAACACAACTGAACAATTTTCTTCGGTAACTAATACAAGACTTAACCATTGAAATTGTCAGGGTCAGAAACGCTATAGCAATCCTCAACATTTTTACACAGAAGTACTAATTTAGAAGAAAAAAACACTTTGCAGATTTATAGAGATGGTTACACTTATTTTAGTTAAATTCACAACGACAACACATTTTTTCAATATATGTAATAAAAACATAGACTATTGTAGTTATAATAATAGACAAATCCATCTAATTTAAAAAGCTATATACTTATTGTATAAACTTTTTTTCCAGACAGGTTCTCTTGGGACTTTTCATCACATTATCCTATAAATTGACTTTAGATAGTTCTACTACAAGTATCTGTGTCCTTTATGTATTGCAGCACTTCTGGGATTCTCTTTTAAACCAACATGTCACAGTTCAGCACTCTCTCAGTGCGTGAGAGGAAGACGCAGGCAGCTGCCCTTTGCCATGAGGTCCATGGTGGTGCCAATGGTATAACCTTCTGCTCTCAGATCAGCACTGAATGATTACAGAGCACAGCACTGAACGTAGCTGCCAATCGCAGAGAGAAACGCCAACATTTAGAATGTGGTTCAGGGCCACAGCCTCATTCTAGCCATAAATAATCTTGTGTGGATGTTCTGCTACCTATAGCAGTGGCTTCACTCTGTCATTGTCACAGGCTATTTCTGCAGAGGCTAAAGTTGGGAGGATGGGGTAGAACAGCTGTGCTGGAGCTGAAATGAGAACAGAATAAAGATCATGGAGAACAAGAGAGCTTCTCCTGTTTAAAAAAAAAAAATCCCCTGAACATTTCACAGTCCTTTTGTTATATCTTTTACAATTTTAATTAACATTAAACATGTTATATTGAAACATCAACATTAAATCTGCAGAGGCTAAAGTTGGGAGGATGGGGTAGAACAGCTGTGCTGGAGCTGAAATGAGAACAGAATAAAGATCATGGAGAACAAGAGAGCTTCTCCTGTTTAAAAAAAAAAATCCCCTGAACATTTCACAGTCCTTTTGTTATATCTTTTACAATTTTAATTAACATTAAACATGTTATATTGAAACATCAACATTAATCATTAATCACACACAAAATGAATTTCTATTTTAAATATCAAGTTATGTTTAGAATTATTTGGAAATGTTCAGAATAATGTCATCAGCATGGCTGAACAACTCCTGCAGCAATAGCATAAGACATGCACCTTATATAATTTCCCTTTAATAAAACTTTCATAACCAGCATATTTAACCTTTTAATAATGAATTCACCAGTTTCTATTAAGGTTGAATGATTTTTCATGTGACCGTTCATAGAATGTGTATCTAACACAGGTATCCATAACCTTTTGTATTTTTGGTTTCTTTGTATCATGATATGTTGTTTGAATAAATTACACCTACATACAATATGTATTCAAATATGAATCATATGAAGCATCTAAAAGTTCATTTCATAATCACTTTCATATCATTCACTATTAAGTCATTAACAGACATTATTACATGATATATTGTAGTAATGTCTTTATGAATCATTAATTATTGTCTATATAAATTGTCATGAGCCATGTATATTATCATGTAAATTATTATAAAGTTTTATCCAAGGTTTTGAAAAGGGCTCTGTTGAATTATTTTGTAATAACAAAAAATTGTGTGATATTAATGCAGGTTTTACTATGGACCTGGGAAAGAAACTTTCCACTCCAAAAGACATCATGCTGGAGGAACTGTCTCTCTTGTCAAACCGAGGGTCACGTCTTTTTAAGATGCGACAGCGGAGATCAGAGAAATATACGTTTGAAAGCATTCAGAATGAAGCCAATGCCATGTTTAATGTAAGTAGCATCTACACTGGCTTGAATCTACGTGCATAACAAAAGTCTGCTTATATTGTGCATAAAAATAATTATATTGCAGATCAAAAGATGCAAATCAATGTAGTACATATTGTGACACTAATAATACCAATCATTTCGAACCTACTTCTGATGTGAGCTCAGATATCTAATTTGATCTAGTCACTTAATCACTGACACTGAGCCTAGAAAGACTAAACTGTTCTGTTATATAATTGTGATTTGCTTGTTGAACTACTATATGTGTGGTTACTTTGTAAAGCAAGCATGTGCTCAGCTGAATGAGTGGCAGCCACACATGGAAGATAGCAAATGCCACGTGCCAGTGACCTTCCCAATGTTCCTTCTTTAGGGTCAGCACCGAAATGCGTCCCTGACAACCTACTTCATTTATAACTGTTCAAGTGCTTGTGTGTGTGTGTGTGTGTGCTCGTTCTCAATACTGTGTACCAAAATGCATTTTTACATAAGTGATAGCTTGTTAATGTGTTTCAATCAAAGGATTTATAATGTATAATTTATGTATTTAGCAGACGCTTTTATCCAAAGCGACTTACAGTGCATTCAGGCTATACATTTTTTACCAGTATGTGTGTTCCCTGGGAATCAAACCCATGGCCTTTTGCGCTGCTAATTCAATGCTCTACCACTGAGCCACATGAACATAACGTACACTGTAACTATATATAACTTTAAATGTATACATAATGAAATGAATGTACAAGAAACCACTGTATCTCTTAATTAGAACAGATTTAGTAATCTGCTACTACTAAAACAACAGTCCAAGATCAAGGATATTGGGAAGTGAATTGTTTTAAAGTAAATAGTTGTAATAAAGCGTAAATTATTTTTCAATCATAACTTGTGAAAGAAAAGAATGGCAGAGCTGTGGCACAATGGTAGTGAAAGTACTCTTGATATAATGATTTTGTTGAAGTCCAGGCTCTGACATCTCTAACCATTTTGTCTGGAAATAGTGGTGTTGACATGAAGTTTGAAAATCCTCCATTGACCTTTTTGTTTAATATTTTTAACATGGAGTGATAGAACAGACTACTTTCAACACAAAAGTGCAATTTGGGAGAATCAAGCATTATGTTCACAGAGATGAATCTGTGTCAAACATTGCTCAATTTACCCAACTCCCCTCTGCCTTTTTGGAGAAGCTGCTGTCAATGACATATTGTGCTTTCACAGCACCATTTTAACAGTGGAACAAAGTCACTTTCAGGCCACTTGGTCCACAATCTGAAATTATTTATAAAATTGTTTGTAAAGTTTTTTTTTTATGTCTTGCTACACATGTACAATGAGCTAGGCTACTATATGTCCAAGTTGAAACTGACATTTCATTTTAGAATGAAAATCAAGCCAATGCAGAAAACTCTCAACAACTTGCATCAAAAACGCCCCCAAACACACCAGATCCCAGAAATCCAGCAAACCCTCAGGACATTGCACCAGGTATGTCAAAAATCAACAATGTTTGTAATGCACAAAAATGTCATTACAATAATTGTGTTTTAGAACAAATTTTATTTCAAAACTGTTTCATTTTAACAGTTTAAATAACATGGTTTAGATGAATTATTAATGGATGTCATAATAGCAGATGAGTCAGGATGCTTTACTCTTGTTATCCACCCTGACCAGAGGCGGACAAAGTACTCAACTCCATTACTTGAGTGAAAGTACAGATACTACTGGTCAAACATTACTCCATTACAAGTAAAAGTTGTAAAGACAGATTTTTACTTAAGTAAAAGTACAGAAGTACTTGCTTTTAAAAGTACTTAAGTACCAAAAGTAAATTTCCTTTTTCATGTCAATGTGCTGTTTTATTGTTATAGGTAGTAATACTTGCAATACTTCTGAAGCAATAACTAGTAAAGTAACACATTACTTTTTAATTTACAAGAGAATATAATAGTTACTTTTTCAAATAAGTAACGCAAGTTACTTTTTTTTCTCAATTTATTGATTGACAGCTCTCCTGTCTCCATGTTGAGAGAAATCAGAAGATGTTACTGTAGTTCTAAAATAAATATGAATATGAATGAATTAATCTCACTCACAAAAAAAACACATTTGAAATGCTGTCTAATCGCTCTCACTGTACTTTGATGTCACACACAGAACAGTCTGTGCGGTACTGCTTCAAGTCCAACGCCTTTTGTGTTTTATTAGGAGACACAACAGTTCTTCTGTGGCTTTATAGGTAATATTTTCACTTACACAATTAAGCAAAATCAGACAATATTGTGTCTAATATATACCACAATATTAACTTATTATTATTGAATTGTTGTAAATAAATATCACATTTGCAACTGTTCAGTGTTCAAAAAATGCTGGGAAATCTCTTCATGTAGCCCCACAAGAGTGATTACTGATAAACTGTCTGAAAAAAAGAAAGTCACGTTTTAGAGAAGAAAACATAGTAACGACTTTCTACTTCGAGGACCTTGATAGAAATGTAGTGGAGTGAAAAGTACAATATTTGTCTTTCAAATGTAGTGAAGTTAAAGTCATAAGTTCCCAGAAAAAATTATACTCAAGTAAAGTACCGATACTCAAAAAGTGTACTTAAGTACAATACTCAAGTAAATGTACTTAGTTACTGTCCGCCTCTGGTAATAAACAAACGCATTATGATTATTTGCGGGTGGGTCACGGGTGGATAAAATAAATCATTAATGATGTAAATATTAACTACATTTTCTAAAATATGAAGTGTTTTAAATAGGCTATACAGAAATTGAATAAACTGTAAATTAACATATTAAAGTTATTCAACACAACATTATTTAGTCAAGAGCACTGATGGATTTTCTCTGTCTTTTGTTGTTTGATTAACATTAATGACAGACGGCACAGCTTTATTAGGCCGCTGCTATCACAAGAACTATTTCACGGATACAATTTGCCTACTGTGGTGTATTTAATGTTAAGAAACATCAAAAGTATGTTTTGAGATTATAGAGTATTGTAAGTGCCATATGGCATAGCTTGTTATTCAGGAAGATTGTAAGTATGACAATCTGTTCTGTGTATGTTAAACAGAGTAGAGCATTAGTGCCCCCTGCAGGCTGAGATTTACTCTTGAGCTGGCTAACTTGTCAATGGTTGGGTGCGTAGTCACAAAGACGGTTATTCAATTTTGGTTGTTGTTTAATCATGGCTTCAATGAGTCCTTAAAACACGAACTTTCGGTTTCTTCGAAATCCCAGGTGGCTGCTCGGCCACAACACCTACTGATACACGTTTTCTTTCGCAACTGTTTACATTAACTTAAGACTCGCGAGGACGACAATTTTGACGTATTTTTGTGTGTATTTGGCCACTTAAGCGCAACAAGCTTTAAGCACTTAAGCCAACAAACTCAATTTGACCGCAGCGCGCGCGAGTATCGAATGGCTTAAAAAGACGTGAAAATAATACATTTTTGTGACGATGCAACAATGACCGATTAGGCAAGTGACAATTCTGTCAACTGTACCGAAACACAAGCTAAAGTCTTGTATCGCAGCGTGCAGCAGCTAGATGCGCCGATGTGCAGAGAAGGTCAGAGAGAGAGGACGCAGTGCTGAATCACTCACGCTGTTTTCAATTGACTGATTTGATCTGATGGTTTGTGTGGATTTATTTACTCATCTAACCTACACGCTATATTGAATAAATGTTTTGCAGCAATTTCCCTCATTTTAAAGTCGAAAGCTGCAGGGATGAGTAATGCGATATGCGCAATCCTGCATCCACCTAGGTCCGGTGCCACCCCTGGCCACCACGTAGACACGCCCCTGCATATAGTGCACTGTTGATCTACTGCACAAAGTGGATATATTAAGTCCTGCAATAATGTATCTGCACCACACAGCACCACCATGAGGAGATAAACAGGAGGTGCAATCTCAATATCCATATTCAAAGGATTCAAGGATTCAAAGCGTTTATTGTCATATGCCCAGTGAGGAAAACAAGTTTCCCTGAGCAATGAAATTCTTACTTTGCTGTCCACAATGAATGCCAAGACAGTGCAATGCTATACACACACATACACAAACTATACACATATACATACATACATACATACAATGTAAGAAACATAATAATAAAACTATGCTGCAGTAGTAGGAATAAAGACTATGAAAAAAATAGAAATATAGACTATGTGTATCTATATAAATGCGAGTATAGAGTAGAAATATAGAATGTGAAAATAGAAATATAGACTATGTATATGGTATCTACATATGCGAATGTACAGTATTAACTTATGTGCAAAAAAACAATAGTGCAGTAACATGTGCAAATTGAGTGCAAGTACATGATAACAATAGCAGCAGTAACAGATGTGCAAATTGAGATGAATGTGCAAATTATTTATTCAGAATAATGAATAACTAATTATTCATATGTGAAAAATGTATTAATTCATTAGGAACTTTGATCCCTTAAATTGGCATTGATTTAAAATGGGACCGATTTAAAATGATTTTACTTCATGCTGTATTTCATCACAAAAAAAAACAAAACAACAAGATTAACAACAAGATTAAAAAAGCCTTGAAAATACAAATACAGTGTTTTAAAGGTTATGTTGGTTTATTTTAAATGATTTTAATGAGAGTTAACATCATAATATTTTATGACATACTGATAATATATATACAGTATATACACACAGTGTTGGGGAGTAACTAGTTACATGTAACGGAATTACGTAATTTAATTACAAAATAAAAGTAATTGTAATCAGTTACAGTTACTAAGAAAAAATGTGTAATTAAATTACAGTTACTTATGAAAATGGTAAGGATTACAAACGGGGTTACATCTGATTTTTTTCCACACACACTCCCACATACAGATTTAATTGATTTCTTTCATAAGTTGCGGTGACTGCTCTAAAATATGAAACACCAATGTTTCAGAAGTTTATAACATGCTTATCCGATGGGGTTTATGTATATGCTTTATTTTTTTTAAGATTAACTGTTTTTCTAAGGCATTGTTAGATTCCAGTGTTTCCTGTCATAGATATGCAAATATTTGATTTCAAAAACAGTATCGTAGCTATTAAACTATTTCTTGTTATGATTTTAAATATGTATTTAACCTATTTAAAAGAATGATTTTAAAGTAAGTCTGAAATTTGCAGATGGATCATGAACAATGGGTACTGATCCATTCTTGAGTTTTAACTTTTTAACAAAACCTGCCTTGAATTGTCCCTCATTCAGAAAGCTGCCTGGAGTAAAATGATTTGCGCAGCCAGTCATAAACAAATTTAGTGAAAGTGAATTGAATTGACATATGGCTTAGTATGGTGTCCCATACTCAGAATTTGTGCTCCGCGTTTAACCCATCCAAGTGCACACACAAAGCAGTGAACACACACCGTAAACACACACCAACAAAGTTGGGGGTTTGGTGCCTTGCTCAAGGGTCTCACCTCAGTCGTGGTATTGAAGGTGGAAGAGAGCGCTGGTATTGACTCCAAAATCAAAATGACTTTATAATTGAGACTCTTTAGGTTTTTGGGGGATTAAAAAAAAGGAGTGAATTTTTATCATTTTAGAGTGGTTGTGTCCACACACTGCTAAGATACATGTATATATATATATATATATATATATATATACATATATATACAGTATGTATAAATATAAATGCAGGACACTTAAAGAAACTGTCCAACGTTCCAGCAGCAGAACAGAAACCAATACAGATGTGTCAGTAATTAAATCTCTGTTTCTTAGGGTGGCTACACCATTTGGGGGTTTCGAAAAAGCCCCACGAGGGATCACCTTTAAGCTTCCAGAGGTGGACTTGAATGCTCCTCGGTACCCCGAGCTCCAGGATCCTACAGCCAAACGACCTACTTTCAACAGGACTGCCCAGGGGTGGATCTCCGATGGCATGCCTCTCATTTTACCCACTGTCTCTCTGGAGCCTTTTGAGATCCCTGAGTCTGACGATCTGTAACACAGATTCAAGCCCTTCTTGTTACCCAATCCCAATGAGCCTGATTGAGGTATAGGGTGTGTGTAGATGTCTAGTTTGTGTGATAGTATTCTTTGTATTCTTTGAAGTGAATTTTGAACTGCTGTTCTTGGGACAGCAATTTCCACATATCATTTGCCTCAAAACTGAAGATTATTTAACAAAACATGTGAGGCAGCATTTACAATCATCATCAGAATTAAACATTTCTTTTGGGTTGAAATCCACATAGCACATTATACTACATGTGTTATAATGTCTTTAGTTATATCACCTATCATTACAATTCTAGGTAACCACAAATTCTGAAAAATACAGTGTGGACTACCATCAAAACACAGAAATTTATGTTTATTTATTGATGAAGGCTCGATGCATTTTTGCCTTTTGTACAATTTGCAAAACAATACGCATATAAAAGTATAAGAATATACATTATACAATAAGAACATTTATTGATACATCCAGGACGTTACAGTGATTTTCACTAACATTATGCATGATTATACTGTGAAACATTACCAGTTTTCTAAGACTGCGTTCACATTTATATAATATATTTAGTACAGCATCAAATACATTTTAGTCTACTTTTTTTGTGGTGAAATATTTTGCACTCTAGATTCTATTAAATCTCACAAAGCTTTGTAGTATAACAGTAAAATCAATAATTTTAAATCTGAAATCACAAATTGATCAGGGATAGATCAATGGCCATGTAAAAAAAAAAAAAAACAGCCATGTAAATATATTGTGCTGAATGCCTGAAATCTGGTTTGTACTGTAAAAAAATACTATTAATATATATTTCTGAAAATTTTCTTTGTGAAATGTATTTCTGTGTTTTGGCTGATGTTTATCATTATATTCACAGTCTTGGAACTTTTGCCTGTAGCTTCAAAATATAGTCTACACAAATTGTCCACATAAAATGCATATTTATTTCAAATTTCTGTCATTGGTGATTTATTAAATTTATATAATTTTGATATATGGCCAATAATGCTAATAATGTTCTGAATGGTGTTTTCACCACATATATCTGCATAGTATATCATCATCATCCAGAACAGTCTCTGGAAGAATCTGTCTCAGTTACCCTGAGGCATAGCACACAGACATATCCTCTGACACGGTCTATATTTACAGGAGTCATAAGTAGCCTTGAATTTGACACTCTCTGTGCTACAGTTACAGTAAACACAAAGACTTCCAGACAGTCAGCAAATGCTTCCTTCCAGCTCTGCAATAAAATGTGCATGGAACAACATTAGCTATTTTACAGTAGAATACTTAAAGGCCATTAAATAATAAATAGCATTAACTACCTACATACTGTATATACCCACCCTAAACAACAAACAAAATTAATATTTATTTATTTTAAAGGTGATGTTATTACACTTTACCAGTGCTTACAATAGTAACAACAGTAAATTATGCACACTTATATGTAACTAACCATAAACCAAACTCTAACCCCATCCTTAGCCTTATAGTAAATACATACAGCAGTTAATTAATATTACTCAGTGCTTATTTTCCTAATTACACTATAACAATGTCAGCTTAACATAAAGGGTATCCCTAATTTACTATCCCAAGTGTTTAAAACCGAATTTATGCATTATTTATGCTCCATCTATAAACTTCAGTTCTGGTATTTGCTATTAGTGCACAAACACTGATTACAGTGACCGATACACTATTTTAAAGCTGATGAAATGTTCTTGTGGTCTGTTCGGGCAGTTCGTGCCTGCAGCCTGGTTCCACCTTATTATTCACACAACAATGAGCAGCAAATGCTAATCATAGTCAGAAATATACATCATATAGGTTCATATAATGTAAGGCAGTATATTAAGCATACTGTGCTGTCCTTCAGAAAAAAAAAGCATATGTTCATAAAGTATACTGAAATTATTTTCAAGGATTGTGATTTTAGTGCCTTTCACTCAGATCTGTAAATGTTTACATGGCCATCATGATGCAAAACAAAATATATCCCTGGACCACAAAACCAGTCTTAACTCGCACATATTTAGCAATGGCCAGCAATACATTGTATTACAACAAAATTATTGATTTTTCTTTTATGCCAAAAATCATTACATTAAGTAAAGATTGTGTTCTATGAAGATATTTTGTAAATTTCCTACCATAAATATATCAAAACTTAATTTTAGATTAAGTAATATGCAATGCTAAGAACTTAACTTGGACAACTTTAAAGGCGATTTTCTCAATATTTAGATTTTTTTTGCACCCTCAGATACCAGATTTTCAAATAGTTGTATCTCGGCTAAATATTGCCCTATCCTAACAAACATTACATCAATGGAAAGTTTATCCAGGGTCACAAATGTAAAAAAAGATGTGTATATATATATCAATAAAAAATATATGTGAGCAGTTTGCTCAAACAAAACAACATATTTGTTTGTTTGTTGATATTCATCACCTTTGAGTCACATGGTTTTGAGCATTGGCTATTTTGTCCCAGTTTCGTGTAGAATTGGTTTATTGTTGCATAAGTTTTTGTTCATATCCCAAAGGTCATACTGTTGAAGTAGCCTATCGAATCTCATCTGTCATAAACCAAATTTCAATAATTGTAATATAATAACAATGTTATGACATAATCATGCTAAAACATGATTTTTTTCTTAATCTGTGACACGTCAAGCAGTGCAATGGGCAGTACTGTACAACAATGTAAATGTCACATCGGTTGTTGTGCTGGGTCTCGTGAGAATCCACGCCCTCCGCACACGCGGGTTATTCCTGCGGAATGACAGTAAATAGTGTTGCGCCGCTACAGTAGCGGTATATGAGGGGCGGAGTCAGCGCGTCTAACTCCACATCCATCAGAATAATCTCGGATAAACCCTCATGTCGATGAGTGTGGAGGAGCAGGAATGCATGAACATGGACACAGCGCTGCGGTGTTATTATGTTTAGGCCTGTAAGAGGATCTTTGACCATATGGATTTACTGCGCTTTATGTCACGCTGAGCAATGAAGGATTCCGACAGCAAGTAACTTGAGCTGGACGTGCATAATGAACTCAGCTCCTTCTGTACGTGGATAAACACGCTTCTAAACGAAGGATTTGAGTACCAATCTACTGGACACGTGTAGGTAAACTATTCTTGTTTATTAATGACTATGTCTCAAAACCTAACTAGCTGCCAACATGGATAGCATTTTTGGGCATCATAGGCGCGCTTTAATGCCCAAAAATGCGGCATAGAGCAGGTCACCTGATGCGCATGCGCAGAAAACAGGTGTAACGGCATGCTGAGCGCATTTTTGCTTTTGTTTATCATGTCATGTTATGCAGATACTGTTACAAGACAACATAATAATGGATTCTGTTTCATAACTACTTAAAACAGTTTTTCAAAGGCTATACGCAAAGTAAGCGACATTCAGCAGTCTTACTGCTCTTTTAATGACAAATTAGCTCATATAGCTAGACACCCAAATCTTTGTGTTAATATTTTCTGATAGTTCTGTCTCTGTATTTTAACTATTCGTTTTAAAATGGCATAAAAAGAACAATACCACAAATAGTTATTGTTCTAGTAAGCACTGTTTTCCACGATGAACAGCTGCACAGCAATTTAATAATGTATAGCTACTTGCTGTAGTATTTACACTGGTAAACTCCAGAGCATCATATTCTCTAGTGTAAATATTCAAGTGCTTGTGAGAACCACACACATTCTTCAGAAACTCCTTCAATGTTTTGTTGTAAATTTAATTTCATACTGTTATAAATTCTGCATTTTTAGTATGAAGAGGCAGGAATACAGCATCAGTGCTGCAGCTGCCTACAGCCCATCATCTTCATGCGGTAGCCATGGCAATGGTCCAGCATTTACAGTAATATACTGCGACACTGCGGCAACAAGTTCTACATTCATCCTGACCCTGGCCACAGAGGCTCCGGGTAGAGGATTGCCCCTTAGCATTGAACACCAGTCAGATATCCTTACAGAATCATTAGTCTCAGACATCATGACACAGCTAAACTTCTCAAAAAGCAGTGTAAATATTCAAGTGCTTGTGAGAACCACACACATTCTTCAGAAACTCCTTCAATGTTTTGTTGTAAATTTAATTTCATACTGTTATAAATTCTGCATTTTTAGTATGAAGAGGCAGGAATACAGCATCAGTGCTGCAGCTGCCTACAGCCCATCATCTTCATGCGGTAGCCATGGCAATGGTCCAGCATTTACAGTAATATACTGCAACACTGCGGCAACAAGTTCTACATTCATCCTGACCCTGGCCACAGAGGCTCCGGGTAGAGGATTGCCCCTTAGCATTGAACACCAGTCAGATATCCTTACAGAATCATTAGTCTCAGACATCATGACACAGCTAAACTTCTCAAAAAGTTAGCTGCAATACTACACTGTAATAATAACAAATACCAACATAAATATCATGTGTACAGACACGTTATTACTATAATTTTTCATTTTAAATAGACTCAGTGATTTGTATCAAGACTGAAATGTCAAGTATCTATCATTCATATTTAATGAGTTTCAGCGGTGTCAAAGTACAAGCAGTGCATTCCTACACTCTTAAAAATAAAGGTGCTTCAAAAGGTTCTTCAAGCGATGCCATAGAAGAACCATTTTAAGTTCCACAAAGAACCATTCAGTCAAAGGTTCTTTAAAGAACCATCTCTTTATTACCTTTTTGTAATCTGAAGAACCTTCTTTTGCCCGAAAGAACCTTTTGTCAAACAGAAAGGTTCTTCAGATGTTAAAGGTTCTTTATGGAACCATTTAGACAAAAAGGTTCTTCTATGGCATCGTGAAGCACCTTTATTTTTAAGAGTGTATATCTAAAAATGTGGTACTGCAAATGAGAGATGATTACTAAAAACACAAGATTAGAAATTGTTGCTAGATTTTTTGTTATATTCCAGTTGCATAGAAACAAAGTATTATATCTCATTTTCTTCACACATTTCATTGTTGCCATGCTAATGTTATCAGAAATTTTATGACAAACAAAATGCTTGTGGCTTGACATTTTAAAATAGATACATGAGTAATAAAATATTAAAATAAAATAATTAGAATATAAACTATTAGAAAACATAAATATTACAGTGCAGAACATCAGTAAAGTAACTGGATTTTAAGTTTGGAGATAAAAGAGAGCGATTATTCATATTATATATAGATATTCTCTTTTGAATTCTAATTCAAATTCATAAGAGATTATGTCAGTACAGTAAGTTCAGTGTAGCTGATTTAATTTGATCTTTAATTCTTTTTGCCATTTCAGTGTCCTCAAAAGTTGATGTTCCATTTAACAGTTTTTGATCAGTTTCTCGAAAGAAAACACAAATCAGAAGTCATTGAAAAAGTGATTTTGTGTTGCAAATACACCACAAAAGTATTTGTACCTTCTACTTTGAATATGTTAAGCAGCATCTATGTGACTTGCTTGTACAACTGTTTGTATATATTGCTCATTTAACATATTTGTTGAGATTTGTTTTAGTTAATCTATACATAAAATGTAATACTATCTTTTAAACTCAGTAGAATGATAGATATGCCTTTTTACAAGTGATTTTTACATAAAGAAAACTCATTAACTGGAGTGGTTGCATTGTCCAGTCAGTTCTTTTTGGCATAATAAATGAAGAATGTTAAATAAGGAATAAGCCACTCTACACTTGGGCAGTTTTCAGAATCATTTTCATTTATGATCCATGGATGCAGTAAAAATGGTAAAAAAGATAATGTGTTATGGTTTATCAAATATGATATAACAGTTTCTTTGGGCATTGGATAAACGTCAACCACACAAAAACACAAAAAAAGAGCTCACTTATAAACAGTCTATAAACAGTCACTAAGTTCGTTTCATATACTTCTTTAAAGTAGCAGCTTACATTTTTCAGCTATATTTCAGTGTTTTTTTGTTTTTTTTTGCTGTCATGTTTTTTAGATAGTACTGTCTTAAACATTGCTGACCAAAGACCATTAGAGCAGCTGTTTTGATATTTTATCTCGCCGTTGTCATTGTGCCTCTCAACACTGAGGTGAATACCAGAGATAACGTCTAATGAAATGTTTGGTCTTGCCTCGATTTTCTTTCTGAGCTCAACCAGTAAAAAATCCAGGCAGTCAGCATCTATTTTATGAACTATTGATCTATAGACAGAGTGACCATACAGTATATCCATTTTCCGGATGTGTCCTGGCTGGGCTTTCTAAATTACCTAAAATGTCTGTGTTTGTTTACCTATTGTTTTCATACTCGCTAAAGGTAATGACCAATAGTGCAGGCATTGTACTTAATCAACCAACTGGCATTCGAGAAGGTGGGATCTTTAGAGAATGATCAAAGCAATACAAATACATCTACACATAATGTATGAGGACTGAGGACCTGTCAATGGGTTATAAACAGATTTTACAATTCTTTTGAATTCACAACCGAATGCCCAAATTGTATATACATTATTAAGAATTCAGGTAACTGTGTTGTGGCAAAGAGTTTTAAAAGAACAAACCACCCTGTCATGAAGATTATATGTAAACCTTGTGTACAGAAAAATATGTAGCTCCTAATTGCAAATAGCATTAGAGTTTATGTAATACTTCTGTGTACAAAATGGCTGTAGTACTCAGATGTAGCTTTCTATTTAACAACATTGATTTTGTCTCTTCATATTGCTCACCTACTGCACCCCTAACCCTTCTCTGTGTGTCTCTCCCTCTCTGTAGGTCTTCCTTTGTTAGCCAGTGTTCTACTTCAGTGCCTGTCCTGAGGAGCCTTTATGAATGACACCCTTCGGTGACCTCCATTGACTTTGCTGGAAATGCTGAGGAGAGTAATGGATTTGTTCTTCTATCTGCATCCATCCTCTTATTGCCAGTGTGCCTGGATGCAGATGAATCCACACATACCGAGGAGAGAGAGTGAGATCATTGTCATAGTAACTGCTGGACTGATGAAGCAACGTGCCGCAACTTGTGGCTAAAAGTCACATGTTCACACTTAATAAAGAGCTACTGTTTTGAATGGTTCCTTATATGCAAATGGTGTGCTGTCAAATCCTGCACATCGAAAAAAAAATCCAGTGCAGTGTATTTGGCTCTTTTTGTTGGGCACTGTGAAGTTGGTCTTCTCTGTCAGGTACAGGGACTGCTGAGAACTAATGTTGCCTAAAACAGATGTATCAACCTCAAGTTGCTTCAGTAATTGACTCTGGTAGTTTGCTGGAGAGGGCC